GAGATGGGCTGTCCTTGGGCTTGGCTGGGTCTCGGTCTCGGTTGCAGACAATTAGGTAGACGGTTTGTCAATGCGCTGTTTTCCATTTCTCCAGGCCCCATACATTCGAATTATAGCACGTTCCGACGTGTTACAACCTAATTAAAATTAAAAAGGACTTCAAGTCCTTGACACGAACCACCCAGTTGACTGGCTAGCTGGATGGCGATGGCTGGATGGCTGGATGGCATTGGCACTGCCACTGCCACTGCAACTGGAAGTGGAAGTGCCTGACTGGCGCTAACCCAGCGATGCGTCACACAAAGTCAAATTTTGTGGCAGCCCCGAGCTAAATGCCACTCAGACATGGGCGTCCTACCTATGGCCAGATGAGGGCATCTCTAATGTGCACACAAAACGTGCTAATGCTAATGGTAGCCGGAGGTCTGCTACGAAACCCTCCCTGCAATGGCGGGATGTATGGAGTGCTCTGCTACCCGCACACGCCGTCGTTGTCTTGATGTCAACTGTAAGTGGCACGGCCAGCCAAGGCTGCTGTGTGGGCTCCGACCGCGTGCGCCTGCATCTGCATCAGGATCTGCATCGGGAAATATTCAAGGGGAAGGGGAAGCAGCATCTCCTGGCTTGTGGATATCTGGAGAATAGATTGTGTATACAAATTGATGGGGATATATGTATATTTTGTCTGTACGTATATTGCTCGAACCTGAATCGCTGTTTGTCGGATGCTCACTGATATTGTAGTTAGGATGCGAGCCAGACCCAGAGCCAGACCCACACCCCTCTCCCCCACCGTTCCCACTCCCACTCCCACGATTACAATCAATATAAATCACATTTACCCAGAGCGAAAATGCTTTCTACTTCAGCGAAGAAGCCAAAAATTCATACGCAACAGGGGAATTTGCTACTTTTTTACGATATTCGTACATACACACATGCATGCATACATACTTGTATATGGGTAAATGTTTATATATTGTACAACAGCAGACAGAACAGACTCCCAACCGACTTCGATTGTAGCTGGCGCCTGCCTCTCCCTTTCCTCCTCCTCCTCCTCCTGCTCCTCCTGCTCCTGCTCTTCCCGCTCTCGACTCTTGCCACGTCTATTTTTTTCCATTTGGCCAACACAAAAAGTAAAAAGGCGAAAGGCGAAAGGCAACCACGCAGGCAAATATGCAACAAATTCTCATTCAAAACACGCACGCAAATTTCTCCAATTCGCATGGAAAGGGATGGGAATGATGGGAATGGGCTTGAAGCGAAACCGAACCAAAGTGTAATAGAATGAGGATCGAAAACGTACAACAAAGGATGGGCATAATAATAAAAAATTTAAGATGTGTAAAAAACATAAAAAGAAAATTCATTTGCGCCAAATTTGTGGATTTCACCTTAATCTTTTCAAGCGTCTCTCCCCTTCCGCTTCCATCCCTGGCCAGACAACAATGTGTGCGAAAATCGATGTACCTATTGAGTGGGTTCTCATCTCCCACATTACCCCATCCTTCCCCACCGAGAGAGGGTTACGCCCTCATTCCTTTTTTATGGATTTGCGGATAGAGATGCCCCCGACAGTCCGTGGCAGTCGCCAACGACGGCAGGCAGCCGTAAGAGCTATTTAAGTTGACTTGTCCTGGTCTCGAGTTTAACCATCGCTTACTAGGAATTACGTGCTCCACGGACCCACACACGGTCGCTGGCTGCGGCCTATTAGATGGTGTATGGCCCGTAATAAGGAAACTGCATATATGACTACAAGAACGATATGGGCACACAGCACACAGTCTTGTATTCTCACTGGAGCCGTAGATGGGATGAGATGAGACAAGACGAGACGAGATGAGATGAAATGAGATGAGATGGAGACCAAATTGTTGTCGCTGGCGATCCACAGTGACAGTGACAGTGCCAGTGCCCACTACTACCTACTCGTACTTAGCCAGCCGCTCTCAATTGAATTAATTGAAATTCCTCACTTGACTAAGTGAATGCACACAACCGAATCCGAATACGAATCCGAATCTGTGTGCGCATGAGAACTTGTACTCGTAGATTCCACAATCATAAGTTCCACCTCCTCCACCTCCACTCATATAAGATTCAATTTAAGAGTATCATATGGTGGCACTTACTTATATACTTATACAATATAAAATAATATTCGTACATAGTAAAGGCTACAGTAACTTTTTGTTCGATTTTATTTAAAAACATAAATGTCTAAATGAGTTGAATTTGAAACATTTTTCCCCAATGCAGTTATCTATGATATAGTAAATGATATGCCAATTCAATTGTGGAAAAACGTGAATTGTTTTTAAAGATATACATATAAACTAAGCTTTTATAAGATTTATTTTACAGCATAGCTGACATTACGCTCGATCTTCAAGGGTATTAAAAGCTTTGACACCCTTTTAGATAATTCTATACGAACAAGCCCGAATTTTACTTTCCTCCAGAAAGTTTAATAGATTCTAGACAACGAAGTTTGTAATGTCGTACAAACTGAGAATCACATGTATGTAAATCAGAAAATGAAAAACCTACTGTAAAAACGATATCGTAATGGTATTTTTCTGAAAGTAAACAGGCAAAATCTTCCAACCAGAAGTGAGACGTGTGAGATTTATTGGACACCCCCTATCATCGTGCAGGCACATGATCTCGGATCTCGAATCTCGAATCTCGAAATTGGACAAAACTCAATGTGATACAACACATGGATATAATCCAGCAAGTCGTTCCCCTCCACCTCTCACTCGGTGACCATCGTTTGACCATATTAAGTGTTTAGTACGGAGGGTGGTATTGTGGAGCAGAGAGAAACCCACCCCACACTCCACCCCGCACTCCCATGCTTGGGACCAGCCTAATCTGTTATAGGCCTGGACAATCTGTTTGTGTGAAAAGCCATCGGCGATGCTGATTTAAGATTGGAAAACGGAAGAAGAAGAGCCCGGTGCCGTCGCCGGGGAGGAAAATTGTAACGAGAGTGTGATAAAATAATCCTATATGAACGTGAGGGAAGGGCGGCTGAGGCTGAGGCTGCTATTTCGAGTACTTCTACGCGTATTTCAATTCGAGAAAATGCGGGACAGTTGCCGCCCGGCTTAGTCAATAATCAACTGCAAACTAGGACTGTGCGGGGCAGGGGGGCGGGCTGGCTGTGCTCGATCGGAATTGTTGCAGAATTGATGTTGATGTATGTATGTATGTATGTATGTATGTATGTATTTATGTAGGTACATCATCATTGTGTGCTCACACAACTACACACTCGCTCATAAGAGAGTACGCATATGAGGGCGGCGTGTCGACCGCACATGGACACACCACACCCATACAGAGAGCGGATCGGACGGCGAGCCGCTCGGCAATGAATTGATGGTTATTTTCAAAAATCCAACGACTGTCCACGCGATCACTGCACAAATCAGTTGTGGAATCGCCCTCGAGCGGAAAAGTTCTCCGCGCTCAGCCGCGGACTTCAGATCTCAGATCTCGGATCACGGATCTCGCATCCAAGATCGCGGTGTGCATGGGATGCGCCACTTCTCGGAAATTCAACACGAAAAAAAAAAACAAGACTGTGCACCACACCACATACTTTCCCTGCTGCTGTTGAACGAACATTAAAGCACAAATATTTAAAAAATATAATTGCATACGAGTAAATACATATGTACATATGTACATACCTATGTGTATGCATATGTATGTACATATGCTGGAAACAGCGCCTACTGGCGCTGGTCAATTCTCCGAGCGGGGTTAAGACCCTTCGAAGGCGCGATAATCGCAATCAACGTTTTCGTCGTCGAGCTATACAGCGGCAGCGGTGGTGACGGCGACGGCAACACCAACGATAGAATGGATGACTCTCCCTCGCGTGCGGAGCGGATCGGATCTCCCACTCTTCCACTCTACCACTCTCTCACCGCTCTCCGACTCTCCATTTTTCCGGAAAGCAAAATATGGTATGTATGATACGACTGCGAAATGCGAAATGTTTCCACATTATTTTCGTTATCTCCGCTCGGAAATTGTTCATTAACTTAATGTTATTCTGCAAATAAGTACAACATATATGCATTGTCCATCTGTGCAATATGGGGATGGCTCAGGGAGTAGAGCTCAGTGTCTTTAAAAGAGCCGCAAACACACACTTGTTCCCTTAGCTTTGGCAACTGACAGTAGCGTGGAATATAATTTCCATTTTTAATTAATGCAAAGAAATTCTATATTTATTAAATTAATGGCAATACTTAGTTCAGAAAGTGCAGCAGTTATTGAAGAAGAAACAGTTTGCCATTTTGAATATTTTCATATACATATATCACACTGAATTATGTGTAAAGTACTCAAATGAGCGTCCGTTAATGCAAATTAAGATGTACTCGAATCTGGGCTCAGAAATGTATAGAATATAAAATATAAAATACAATCAGTGTACATATCTTGTAGTAGAAGTGCAACAAAAGCTGCCGTTAATGCAACTCAGGAAGTGCATCAGATTTCTGACGACGACAATTGCGGCTGCTACTGTGGCTGCTACTGTGGCTGCTACTGGATTCACTTAACTAAGTGTTATTGTGCTCTGATTAATCTATGTATATTCTAATTTAGACGATGAATGCATTCAGGCAGCTGTTTATTGTACTTTGTTTGCGCATCTTGCGCCGACAAATTGTTGCACATACGAGTACGAGCTTGTGCCCCGAACTCGGGTCTGCTCTGGCATTTTCTGCTTTTTTGACAAGTACTTGACGCTTGCCCCAGTAGTAGCTGCAGCAGCGGCAGCAGAGCAGCAGAGCAGCAGAGCAGCAGAAGCAGCACTCATAACCGAGAGCAGCGACATCGCAGCGGCACAATAAGACTGCTTCTGCACATTCGCATTGTGTGTATTTTTATTCGTTTAAATTCAATTGACTTTGAATGCTCCAGCAATGAAGGCAACAACACACACAGGGCACGGGCACTAGCACGGACAGGGACAGAGCCGGAGCCGGAGCAGATGCGACGTGGCCGTTGTCGTCTGTCACGGAGTAAATTTGAACGCTGTCGGCGAATACGGGCATCGGGCAACGGAAAACGAATGAGGGTCAATTAAGCCAATTTAAATTTAATAAACTTATGTATTATGTGCAAGAGGTTACTAGCCATAGCAATATGCCATCCGTATATGACTTGCAATGATACATCTACACATCTACGTACATATATGACTACTCGTACATACACAGGCGAACGAAGACCCGAAGTGGAGGGGCAATAATACTCGTATTTTTCTATTTTTGGGGAGGGTAGACAAATGTAGTACTCGTATTTGACGGAGAAGGAGAAGGAGATTGGATACAGATGCATGACACAGCTGCCACAGAAGGTTAAGTATCGTTTATAGATATTAATAACTCAAAACTAAACGATGAAGTGCATAGTTCAGAATACATTACACAACGGACGGATGCTTCGAGCTGTCAATTGTGAGGGATGCTGTGATGCTGTCATTCCCATCGATCCACCGATCCAGCAGAAGAACCCATTCTAACTGATGTACATATCATTGCAGAGATCAGATCAGAACAGCAGTTCAAGGAGGGGTCACGGCACGGGAAATGAACAGGCACGGGAGATCGCGGGTGAGTATATTTTGAGCACTTACCTTGTACATACATATCTTGTGCATTTTGGCGGTTTGCTTTCCTAAGTACTAGTGCCGCAGGAGTTAGGTTCGTGTCCGCAATACCTCCTGCTGCCCAAGTGCTTATTAAAGCGGCGGTGGTCCAACAGTGAAACGCAGTGTGATTTAGTTCCATTTAGTTATAATTTAATTGTATTTAATATTTCTCCTAATAGTTACAAAAACTATGTTTGACAAATTATACTAATCTTTGCATTTCTGTTTGTATTAGGTGTACTTCTTGGCAGAAAGTCTCTAGCATACATACATACATATTTATAAGTACATATAAAGTATACCATCCTCCCGCTGGAGAGGTGTCCGGTCCAGGTGGGGAAGAACACAGCTGCTCTCTTCCGCAGAATAATTCAGACGAGGAATCCCATCTCGGATCTCGCCGAAGATGTGCACATGTGTGGTGGCCTTGCAATTGTTCTATATTATAAATGCTTAAATTACTCCTAGATGGGGCAACAACATTCATACTCGTAGAAGCGAACAACATATATCCCTCACCATTAGTTATGATCTATGTATATATGTACAGTTGTCGAGTAAATTTCACGGAGAATTTTCTATGTGCTGTTCTGTTCAGTTCTTCCGTGCGTTACCATTTTGAGTCCTTGACAAGCGAGCTCTAGCATGCTTCTATATGTGTGTTTAATCATGTATGTACATTGCACTTAGACCGACACTTAGGGCTACTTAGGCCTAGATAAATACAAGTATGTGGTAGCTACACTTAAACACTTCAGTTAATCAAATTGAAAATCAATAGGTAATACTTTTATAGAGGATATGGACATGATATTCTCACAAATGCGACTCCCGCAGAACTCTGCCGGGTCTGGAAGAGTGCAGGTCCTGTTTAGATTAAATGGATACAAGTTTATATGTTTATTTATATATCATGGCGTAAATTAGTTGCAATCGGTTTGCTCAGTTTTGATCAGGGTTTGGCGCGCAACATTTACCTCGACCTCGACTTCGACCTCGAGACCGAGACCCCGTCCGGGGAAAGCGGGTTAGCTTAGCCTTAGCCTGGTTCAAGCAATGTTAGGCGGGAGCACAGTTCTTTTAGGATGTCTGGCGATATGTTAAGTTGACAGCGTGTTTGGAACCTCATGTCGGGAGAAACATATATATATGTATGTTCGGTTGGGGACATGGGGTGCGGATATGGCATTGGGTATAAAGATAAACGATATGTTCTTTAGAAGTTTTTTCGTTCGTTTCTGATCTACCAGAATGTTTCGATTTCTGCTTCCGTTTCACTTTCGAGGGAGTTTTTAGTTGCAGATTCAGCTTTAGGTTCGGTTCATGGGATTAGACTTAGGTACAACAACAGATGACAACAACTATTTACAAAACGAGTGTATTCGTCTACACTTTTGGCATTGATTCGATGATGAATGCAATAAGTACACAAGATGCTTACGAGCTAGGAGAAGTCTTTCCTCAAACCATGCGAATAAATACGTCTAGCTGCTAGGATACGTTATTCGTTACGTTACGGTACGATATCAATGCATTAATACAGTTCCACTTTGCTCTCGATAATATGTTGCTTTTGCTTTTGTTTTTGTTTTTGTACACTCAGAAGTAAGTATAGGTATATACGAGTACGAGTACGGTATGTAGCATTTGATGTATGTATAGATGCGTGTGACTTGTGTGTGTGTGTGTGAAGTTTATATACAACTTTCCTGTATACGATTGGAAGTGGTGACTATCTCGGGCCCGGTTCGAAATCGGTATTCGCTCAGCGAGGACGTCACCGATGGATGGTTCGGACTGAGCAGGCTGACCTCCATGGGCTGCGGTGTTAGGTGATATGAGGATGAGGGCGTCGATGTGCTCACACTGTAGTTCTGCGTGCCCAGCGGTGGACTACAGGTTGTTATGCCCTTCCTATTGAGGGTTGCATAGCTCTGTTCAGGCGAAAGCGGGGAAAGAGAGAGGAAACCAGAAATGAGATGACACCATGATTGAAGACCAGATCCCAGCCCATCACCAAAGTCACCTTGAATCTCGGATACTTACGATCTGCTTGCTGGGCCGAAAGGTGTAGTGCAGCACCTCGTTGCCGGAACTGCTCATCAGCCCTATGCTGGACAGTCCCTCCGGCGCGCCCACTGCCTCGCAGCTGCCCTTCACCAGCTCCGTCTCCCGGACGTAGTCGCGCTGCATTAGGCGAGTCGAGGGGCTGGCAAAGCCGGGTGGCGACACCAGACTTTTCAGTGGACGTTTTTCTAAGGATCAGGCGCATTTTACTTACGGAACAGTACGGCCTGTGATGTGATTATGACCACTTACCATACTGATTTGGTATAACATCGGGATCTGTGTCGTCTATATCGACCTGATCGGCAAGCGGACTGTGCCGGGTCCGCGCCGTCGAGCGTAGCGTTTCGCTGCCCAGGGCCACCAGGCCGATGGGAGAGCTCCCTTTGACCCCGTCCATGCCGACCCCAACGCTTACTTCCCCCAGGTTGGCGCAGTCGACCGCGTTGCGATTATCACAATTAAGGGGCAGGAGGCTGTGATGCGGCTGGTGGTTCCCCTGCTCCGGCTGCCCGCCGTGCGCACCCGGATGCAGTGGGTCCAGCTGGCAGTCCGCCGGAATGCTCAGCTGCGTGTGCTTCGCAACCTTCAGGTTGTTGTCGGTGCGCCTGCAATTTAAATGAGGTCATTAAAGCAAAGCCAAAGCCAAAGCCACACCGATTAGCCATTAGCCATTAGCCATTAGCTAACGCACCGATTAGAGAACCTCCTGTAGATGGCAGCGAGCATGATGCAAAAGATGGCAAAGAGGAGGCCACAGAAAAGGGTCAGACCTGCCAGGAACGGCGACAGCGGCATGGAGAGACCCGTCGAGGCACCTGTGGATCCGCAATTCAATTATTACAAGGCAAACTCCAATTGAAAGCACTCTCATAGTCTCACCCGTGAACTTGGCCACCCCCTTGAAGTTGATGTCATCGATTATGGTGGGCTCGGAGCGACCCTTGGCATTGACAGCGAATATTACCATCCGGTAGGTTGCAGCCTGGTCCAGGTTGTCAATAATAAAAGTGACCGGAGTATGCTGAATAGAATGAAAAACGAATTGCGAAATCAAATAACAACTTGGGTACCCTATATATTCCGGAAATCATGTGTTATGTATCCTGTTAATATTATGTGAAAATGTATCTTTTAAACCGACATTGCACTTTTAAAATATCTTTTCAGTTTCAGAATAGAAAAATGTGAACTCCCCTTACTCCGCTTACCGAAACTGTGATATTCCTGGCCAATCGCAAGGTGTTTAACTCGACCAGCTCCAGCATGAAACCCTGAGGCAAGCCACCATCAAATCCCTCGATGCAGTCGACTTGCAGGGAGTCCACCGATTGATTGGTCACCGAACAGTTTTGCAGGGGAAAGGGCCGACCTGTGGGTAGAGTTATGTTGAGCCCGTACAATGTAGAGCCTGGTCGGTGCTTACCCGCTGCGACAATTTGAAAGACGCAAGGACTCTTCTGCATGCCAATAGAGTTCTTGCCCCAGCAGGAAATTGTGCCATAGTCCAGATCCGTGCTGGGCGTGTAGTTCAGTCGCGACATGCCAGTCTGCAAGGGAGCGTATCGATAGCGTATCGTGGAGCGTTCACTAACAACTCTATTAAGTGTGTGGCTTACCTCAGTGGAGTGCAGGCGAGCGGGCAGCTCGGTTTGCTCCCCCGACGAGTTGAAGGTCCAGTGAAAGGAGTCGGCGGGTGGCGAGGCGTCCACCTCGCACTTCAGTGGCAGCGTCTCGTGCTTCAAGGCGCCCAGCAGCTCCTCGTGGTCGGTAGCACAGATGGGGGCGTCTGCCGGAGACGAATAAATAATTAGAACACTTATTGAAATATTTAATGCCCTATTAGGGTGGCCGCGAATAAATCTCAATATGCAAGCGCCTGTCCTAGCCACCAGCCACCAGCCACCAGCCGCTCGGTCTTTAAACTGGCTTGAATTAATTTCGAATTTGGCTCCAACATTTGGCCACTGCAATCCCTGCCGCCTGTCTAAGCCCTGCCTCCTCTTCTGGTCATTTGGAATATCATTTGGTGCCAGTGCCAAGGCAATGCATTCATTGCGCCATAATCTTGGTCATTAACGTGAGCTGAGTGGGCTGAGTGGGCTGAGTGGGCTGACGGAAAGGGCATGGAGGTGGTGGCATGGTATGGAATGCTGAGGCTGACACACCTACTGGGCTTTTGTTTTTGGCTTTGGGCCAGAACACAGCAGTAGAATCCGAAGCCCCCACTCTAAATACATTAAGAGCCATTCAAACTCAAGGATTAAATTGGAAATTACATAGACGTTAGTTCAAAGCCAAACTTTGGTGACTTCGAGCATGGTGAATGGTACGGTGATAGGGGATGGGGATGGGGATGTGGCCGAGACGGCCGGGATTTGGCTAGCGTTTACTTACAGCGTATGCGCAATGTGACCGGATTACTTGGGCCTTTGCCCTCAGAGTTGACAGCGAGGCAAGTGTAGTCACCGGCCGAGGCACGTGAGACGCTCTGCAGCACCAGCGACTGATCCGAGAGGATGACGCCGGCGGAGATGTTATGCTGCAGCTCCTTGCCCTAGATATTCGATATATGGGTATGGATGGCATAGAGGTTGCAGAGTTGAGAGGTGAGTTCATCAGAAGGAGGATAAATATAAAGTTTTCGCTTACGTTGTGGAACCAGGACATCTTGTATGGTTTGGGATTCGATTGAACGACGCACTCGAAGTACGCGTCGTCGCCCTCTTTGATGTCGTCCGGGTTCAGGGATGAGCCAATCTTCAGCGTTGTCGTGGGCTGGACTGTGTGGAGGACAGAGATATGTTTTCCCAATTAAGTTTCACCCTCTCCTTTTCAGACTCGCTGTCTCCTTTCTCCTTCAGCACTTACAGTGGACAATGAGACGCCATTTGTCCTCGATGGCGCTGCCGTCGATGAATTGATTTTCTGCCCGACATGTTAAATATTTGCCGTCGTCCTCGCGTCCGGGCGTAAACGTCAGTATACTTAGAGATTGATTATCGGGTTCATTAAACTAAAAAAAAGAAACGCAAACAGAGTCCATTAGGAAATGAATAATGAAACGGAAAGAAAAGGAAACGAAATGAAACAGAAACGAAAAGAACGGCAAAGAAAGCCAAGGCCAAGACCGAGACCGAGACCGAGAAATAAGCGAAAATGAAAACGAAAATTGTGGCAATTATAAGCAACGCACCAACTCTTCTACCCGAACAATATTAATTTGTGTTTAATTAATGAGCCCGAGACTTTGTGCATTCGAAATGAGTGTTCAGCTCCGCTTAACTTAACCCGAATCGAACCAACCCGAACCGAACGGAGCGAACCAGAATGGAACTCGAACTGGAACTTACGTTCTTGGTGAGCTTTTTGAGTTGTTTACTGCCCTTCCACCAGGTGATGAGAGCGGGCGGCTTAGAGCCGGAGCTCTTGCACTCAATGTCGTAGGTACGATCGGCGGAGACGAAGCGATCCTTGGTGAGTATGTGCACCGCCATGGGTTTCACTGGAAACAAAACGAAACGAAAAGGTCCCTAGTAAATAAATCCATACTTCTGTGGCAAATACTGCCCCCTGTGCCCCCTGTGCTTCCACTTACGATTCACATCCAGTATGACGACCTTGTTATTGGGTGGCGTCAGGTTCGTGTTGCTGGCCACGCACACGAGCCGAGAGTTGAGATGCTGGCGGCCCACGTTGGGGTAGGACAGGTGGTTGATGGTCTTGCCATCGGGGCGCTGTTCGAAGGATTCGTCGATGGCCGTGTTGTCCAAGTACCATGTGACATTGGGACGCGGTCGACCTGGAGACACACGCAGCGTAGAAATAAGCACATTCAGAGCTGGGGACAGGGATCTTACCGCCTGAGACCTCGCAGGACAGGACAATATCGTTGCCCTCATTGAAGGACTCCACATTGCTGGCCTTTTCATGCCTGTTCTGGCCATAGATGATGGGTCTGTCTGGGGGCACGATGACAGTTAGATTTATCTTCAGATTCCTCGTGGGCGAATTGCGAAAATCGACTCGGCAGCGGTAGACGCCCTCGTCCTCGATGCGTATGTTGTCTATTTTCAGCTGGGCGGGGTGGGTGGTGCTGCTGAAGTGGGCGCGTGTCCCGAAGGCCAGCGGCGAGGACCAGAGGCGCGCCTGGCCGAACTGCCGCCCCCTCACATCGAAGCTGCAATGAAATATGATTAGTCCCAGGCCCAGGCAGGGAGAGGCTGCATATGAAGCCCGCTGGCACCTTCCACTCACTTGTAGATGGGCTCGCCATCGCCCTCGCGGAACCAAAGCACCATGTACACGGCGTCATCGCGTTCCAGCGGCGAGATGTCGCAGGGAAGCATGGCCTGCCGGCCCAGCACACCCTGCACCGATGTCAGCGGCACCGGTCGGTCCAGCTCCTGGATGAGCTCATCGGGCTCTAGGTAGGAGGCCCGCACTTGGCAGGTCTCCAGCGTAACCAGCAGGAGCATCAGGAGCAACGGACCAATGGCCGTGCCAATGCCAAGGCTCCAGGCGAGCGAATAATGCAGCTTCAGTCGCCGCCATCGGCTGGGAGGTGGATGGGGACGTGGCTCCTTGCGCTGCTGGCACATTATATCGATCGTTGCCTCGGGATGCATGATAGGCTTCTGCTCTTCGCTTTCTTGTTTACTGAAAGTTGTCGCTTGTTAAGACTCTGTGTCTGTCTCTGTGTCTGTCGCTGCCTCTGGCACTGCCTCTGCTCATATTTATCGAGTGCTTATCGCATTTTCATCCATGTTTTCCGCAGTCAGAACGGCCGTCGTGCACTAGCACGCCCAGCCAGTGGAGTGGAGTGGAGTGGAGTGGAGTGAAGTGGCGTCGAGTGAGGATGATTGGGATGTCCTTTGGCTGCATAATGCAATAATTCAATTCATTAGTGGATAGGAAGTGAAGTTCCATTCAGGAGAAAAAATGAGAAATATTTTTTCAGTTCATCTCTATTGCATTTTCCCTTTTACTTCTCTAAATATCTGCTTGTTTTATTCAACCCATAACATTGATAAATAAGTATTCTCGTCTCATACAAACAGATCTAATAAACTGGGAGCTCGGACCTGTGTATATAGTATCTGAATTCATAACAAAATACATGCAACTCCAACTACAATAAATAAAATGTAATCCAATTCAAATATTTGTGCAGACAAACATTTGAAATATTTATGTACGCTTCATCAAAATAGCAGAAAGAGGTTTGTTTTTCACAGATTTCGCAATTTTTAGGACATATAAGCTTTACAATACAGGCTGTTTATTCAATAAATTGTTAATTTCAGGTCTTTAAATTTCACTTCATCTAAGAGACAGTTGAATCAGTTGAGACAACAGTTAAAGAATGATAAAGAAGGAATGGAATCCACTCTGGTGGCAGCAAACCGAGATTGTGCTGCATATCTTGAGGCGTTTGGGAAAACTTCAATCCATGGAGGACTAATTATCTCGCTGAGTATAAATACGGATACGACCCCAAGGCATTCATTATCCCAGATCCAAATGCTCAGTCAAACTTCATTGGGCCCGATCCAAGGGCATTCATTTGAATATGTGATTGTTTGCCTTGTTCAGCGTGTCCATTGTGTGCGTGGCCACAATTAATAACCGCTGTCAATTCCAATCATTTTGCCAATAAATCAAAAGTATTCTCGAGAACAATGCCTGGTATCAACTGGCTGGCTTCAATACTTCCCACACGATTTCGCGAGTATTATGATTCTCTAAAATAGCCAAATAAGTGTTTCTAGCCGTTTTATTGCTTGGCTGTTGCAGGGGAAACAGTAAACTCGGCAAATGCCATTTTCTAAATATATTCATATTTCTACTCATCCAAAGAATGGGGTTCTGAGCTCATGGCCAGGTCGGAATTCATGACGCATCTTCGGTCGACTCGCCAATGACTTCGAGTATACTCGAAGGTGCTCGCCGGCACCTCTCAATCTCAGGCTGTCAACGTAATATCTTTAAAAATGTGAAGTCATTTATTTGGCACATGGCTGGAATGGCCAAAACCAAAACCAAACAAAACTAAGCCAAAACTCAAAACTGACAACATCATTCGCATAGAGACAGAGACAAAGACAGAGACAGAGACAGAGAGAGGAATGCAAGGCAGGTTCTGGTTAGGAAAGTAACCATGATTGGCCTGGTCAGTCGCAGTCGCAGTCAGAGTCGTAAAAGATGATGATGATGGCCGGAATCTGTCAGAGGCAGAAGCAGGAGCTGCCTGGGGGAAAGGGCTATCGCATCAGCATATGGCCGAGTATCCCGCTTCCCCTGCCCAGATCTGCCCCTGATAACAAAAGAGAAAAGAGTTATGGGTCTGTTCGTAACGAATATCCGAGATTCCAGGCTTGTGGCATAGCTCATGCTCATGCGTCCACTCAAAGTTATGGCCATAATGCCCCTTTATGGCCTTTTAATGTTATAACTTAATTAATTATTACGATATTCCATTTCCCCCCCGCCCTCAGAGAAAAATAACCAACAACAGCATCAATAAATGCTGTTCATAAATATGCCTATGAATGTGATAGACAAAACACTTGGCCCACAAATACAAAACAGACAAATCTGCGGCAATAGGCATAGGGCTGGGCTTTTTACAAATGATACCCTCGCGAAGGGTAGTACCATTTTGTCAATAAATTCTCCTCCAGCAAAGAGTAATCTCGTGGACTATTAACATTATGAGGTTATCCAATTGTGACCAAATTGGTATTGAGGTGTAAAACTCTTTATAAAAGTGGGGTTCATCTCTTCTTAGATTAGGACAGTGACTCTGAATTCTGATAATTTTCTATTCTAATATATTTTTTAGACTTTTAATCATTTTTAGATTTTGTGTGTGCTTATGATGGCTATAATACTCCCTTTTCAAATCGAAGCCTATAGTTGTTTCCATTTGTTTTAAGTTTTGGTAGTGTTCTATGTAAAAACTGTTTCCCCATAAAAATGTTACGTCTAAGCCACAGCTTACTGACTCTCATGTATACAAAGATCAACCGTGGATGAGGGAACAGATCAAACAATATTTGGATGAATTTGAAAGGGCATTTGGTGGCCTTCTGTGCCACTGCTACGAGTATCTCTTCTACTGTTGGCCAGTTTTTGGTCATTCCAAGCCAACGAATGTATCGAATGCTGGACAAACTGATCGCACCGAACCAAACCGGTTATCTCAATGAACTTGAATTCCTGCTCATTTAAAATTCATTAGTTTTTATCTGTTTTTATTGCGACAGAGAACAAACAATGGATGCGTTGATTTATTAATTATTTATTTTCGTTTTACTTTACAAATAATGAAATTATGCTTCCAGCGCAGACAATGCAGCAAAAAAAGCCAATGTAACGCAAACAAAGCGATTCTGTCCGATTGTCTGATTGAAGGTGTCGCAGAGAATAAAACCCGGGTAAACTTGAGATCTAAAATGCTTTAAATGGAATTGGAATTCACACTTGCAGTTATATTTCCCTCCTGTGGTCGTCATCATTCGGGGTGCTAAGCGTTTTCTAATGGACGCAAATAAAGTGGCTGCTCCTCTTACTCCCATATCCAGATCCAGACACATCGGCAGCAGTCGTAAACTTGATTTCTTATGCACTCAACTGAGGGGCCCCATGGGTGCTTTGTTCTCACATGGAGGTGCGAATTTTTCAACCCGAAAGCAGATCAAAGATATTTGCATGTTGGCCCCAGCCGGGCCAGAGCACTCCATCTTTACCTCCACCTCCACCCAGCACTTCAATACAACTAACCATAGAGATTGTCTCTTGTCTCGTGCCTCGTGCGAGGGGTGTGTTTCCCCAAGGAGGGCTTCAGGTATTAATGGGTATAAATAACTCTTTGATGGGCAGCCGGTTATGAGCGGCTGCGGACTTTAGTTTGTTTGGTTAGCTGGCCATTTGTACAAAACACCTTAGCTTCTATACAAAATATGACAAGAAATCAACCGAAACCGGTTTCGGCTTTCAGTGTAATGTGATTTCGTTGGGAAACAACACTCGGGGAAAAAACGGAGAAAAAACACTGAAAAGTGTACGCCATGCTTAAAATGCTAAAAGATGTTTTCGGCTCGAGTGCCTGGCGCTGGGCAGGTTACTGCCTGCTGACTGTTGCCGGTTGCTGTGGTGTTGCTAATTAAGATTACAGACATCGATACTTTTCGGAACGCAGTGGCACGTTCAGATACATACATATACATACATATGTAGGTACCTTATAAAAACGTTGCCAGAAGGCAGCTTGAGCAGATAGCTCCCCAAAGTGCTACATCAACGCCCAGTGACAGTGGCAGCGGCAGCGGCAGCGGCAGCGGCAGCTGTGAGGGGAGGTGAGGTTTGGTTTGGTTTCCTCTTGGCTTATTAATTATGTAGCTTAATTTGCGATTATGCAGATATGCATGGGCATAAATTTCGGGGAAATAGGCGGCCAGATAACTCACCTGCTAATGTATGTGCATATAGCCAAATGATTCCATTCAATATTCCATCGCGCTCTGTCCTAATGGATCCACTGTTTTATTTTATTTTCTTCTCTTTTTTCTACTTGTTTTCTGTTCTGTTTGGTTTGGTTTTGCTTAGTTTTATTTTATTCCGATTCCCATTTCGATTGGGCTGCTGACCAGTCTTCTAATGAGGCCCAGACACGCCGTCTGCGCTGAGCTGTAGCTGTAGCTGGAGCTGCGATGAAACCAGAGATAGATGTTTCAATGAAACTTCAAGCCAAGCTAACTTCTTAACGAGCCAACACTCGGACTGCCCTCCAGTCCAGTCCCACTCTGATTGCACTCTTAATTGGTTCGGATTTACGTTCACACCTCTGTACTGTCCGCAGCTCAGTTTCGATTTCGATTTGGATTTCGCCAAGCGCACACTATCCGCACAATACAGCACAATAAAGCATACAATACATTTGTCATGTTGCCAAGTGTAATCAAGTGCCACTAAAGATCTCTCGAATCTCGCTCGTTTTGACAACTATTACCATAACAAATCAGCGCGCCTGCCGGTGACAGGCCAATTGAACCGCACCGCATCACACCGGACGGCACCGCACAGTACCACACTGCGAGCGAGGACAGGAAACAAAAATATTTACACGGCACTATCGAAGGGCTGACTGCTTCTGCTTAGGAGAGTGGTAGGAGAGGAGTAGGAGACAGAATACGACGGAGAACAGAGCATTGAGGACGTGTCGGAGTCGGAGTCGGAGTCACCGAACAACAACATTGGCGAGGACGAGCCTGTGTGGGAAGAGGCTCTGAGGCCCGTGCCCGTGCCCGTGCCCGTGCCCCTGCCTGGGCTATATCCTTGTGCCTCTGTTCTCCTTTTTTATGCCACAGTCGTAAATTCCAATTATCGACGAAGTCGGGGCACGGCAGCGCCTGCGAGAGCGACAGTGACAGTGGCACCACAAACCGAGCAATGAGCCTGCCGAATGAGGCAGATTGGAGGGGAATGGCACGGTGTGGAGTGGAGTGGAGTAGAGTGGTGTGGAGTGGAGCGGATTGGTTTCGAGTGGTACAGGGGCAAGGGAATTTAAGCGATTTCCAAAGTCAGGCTGGGCTACTACTGTTTCCGATAGTTGTGGATTTTCACAAAATTTATTCGATTTTTTGAGTAATCCTTGTGCCGCATCACATCAGGTAATGCAATTGAGTTACGGCTTCAATATTCGGTTTTGATTTCCGTTGCCGGTACGATACGATTGTGCAAAAATACCGGCAAACCGAACGAGTCCGAGTACGAGTCGACAGACTCTTTCACACTACGGGTACGAGTACGAGTACGAGGCTCAGGACTGGAGGCTGGAGATGGGATGGTTGGAACCGCACTTTGGTCATTGGATACGTTTGGTATTAACGAATCATTTACATTTATCACTCTCGATGGTTTCATTAAGCACTTCAGCAAATCCTGTATCCGAATACAATGCCAGCACCAGCACCAACACCTGTGCACGCGCTCTACTCACATATACGAAGACACACGGCGGCGCCTGTAGGGGTACGAGCCCGAGAGTGCGTGCGAGTGGTTGTGTGTGTGTCTGTGTGTGTGTGTGTGCGAGGGCCGCTTTAGATGGATACCCCGAAGCGAACGGATTGGGCTACATTTCCACTTGGGACGCTCGCGTTTTCCGTTTTCCGACAGCAACTTGTGTACCGTTATAGCTTCGCCCGAAGAATGCCCAGAGTTAGTCGTTGCGTTGTCTGCTTTGATTTCTTTTCGAAATTCGAAAAACGAAACCCAAGCAAAGAGAGCGAGAGAGGAGCGCGCGTGGCCGAAGAGACAAGCATATGAAATACGAATCTGAAGAGAGCGCTCGCTCGAAACTTGGCACACGATATTCGAGCTCAACAGCAGAGTGGAGTGCGGCATTTCGTAAATTGTAGGCCGAAGCCGGACTATGCCATGGCAAATCTTTAAAGCCAACAAAAACCAGACAACAAAACGGCAACTGACAAATTTCCACCTCCCTGCCTCCTGCCTGGTCATTTATGCGTGAAGATTTCGCATCAAACTGGAGATATTCCCTGCGACGGGCGATAAAAGTTGTCGCTGTAAAAGTAATTAGAGCTAGACACGATTACTCGACAGAATCACTCTGCTTACCCGATAACTAATTGTTTCTACAAATTATTGGTGGTGCTATTCAAATGATATGGGAAAAATAAAAAGAAAAAGTACTTTACATACATACCTATGCATATGTATGTACGAAATGGTATGCGACGTAGTACGATTAAGTATTTAAGCAAAACCATATTCGAATCATACGAATAGATACAAATGAGCTTTTAAGAGGAAAAGGAAATATAAGAATTTACAAAAAATGTTCATATTTGTTACAGGTTTTCTTCTATATTTAAAAGGTTACCTAAACGAAAATTAGAACCTTTCGCAGGTGGTACTTTTTGATATTTTATTACAAGCGGTGAGATGGAACAACTGATGGAACAGTTGACCCTAACTAACTAAAATAATAGTATACATGCTATGTACAGAGCAATAAATGTTAAGATAACTACGGCTAGACACGATTACTTTTCGGACAATATGTAAAATAGCTAGATAGGAATAGTGATTCCATATAGGAATACACACCATGTGCACAATGTAAAAATATAACAATTTATTGATGTTTAATATGATTAAACTTATCAATCTGAACAATTTGATTTACAATATCAATATTTCGCCCAAAAAGAGCAAACAAAAAATGAATGATGAAATAATATCTGGGTAGGATGTGCGATGGGAGTCCGGGAGCGGAAATTTTATTCAAGATAATTCCTTCACTTGCCAATTCAAAATTAATTAAAGCAAACATCCGTGGCTTATTCACGAATTATTCACTTATCAATCAATATGTTTATTCTGTGACGAGCCAAGTCCATAAGTTGGCGCAGCGTTTCAAGTGGATTTCCATACACTCCTGCCCGCACCCGCACCCACACTCGCACCCGCACTCGCACTCGTACTTTTATTTGGCGCAAAACATTGGGCCTTAATTCTGAATCGGCCAGATGTTATTCATCATGTGAGAGCGGCGGCACTGTTGTTCTTTATCAAGTGATTGATGCGCAATATCCACACAATTTGATACGGAAAGAAAGTAGTAGTGAAGGAACGCACGAGCAATTTGCGCTAGCCAGCCCCAGCGGGAAGAGCGCCCCCCAATCCGAATCCGAATTGACTTTTGTAGATCGAGTCTGTGAGATATGGCTGCGGCACGGACAGGGGAGTGGCAGTGGTCCGGGTGCACGGCCACCCAAACGAATCCGCAGCGGAGAGTGCAATCACCTGGGAATGGGGAAGGAATCGAACTCCATTCGATGGATGCCCAGTCCGCGTCGGGGCGGGTCGGTGCGGGTCGGTGCCATGCTGCGCATTAAATCGTTAAAGTAACATATACAAATTAATGCAAACAAATACAAAATACACGAGCGTTGGGCTGCCGAAACGCATTCGACTCCTCAATCGCGATCTGAACAGATTCGAAAAACAATTCTTCTCGGCTTCTCGGTGGCTGGCGAGTTTGTTGGTGCTCCAGATCTTGTCAATAGTTACGACTTTCTGATGTGCCACGGAATGCTAAACAGATCAAAAGCATGGCACGTGGATGCGCCACCCCAACGTCTCCTACCAACCCCACCTTCTCCAGCTGCAACTCCAACGCGGACTCCCAAAAAACCCCGTCTGACAGAGATGAGGTGTGAGAAATCTCAAGTGAGATGGCAGTGCACTCAGTCCCCACCCACTCCGCCCCCAAATTCAAATACCCATGGTAGCCGTAGCCGTAGCCGCAGCCGCAGTCGCATCTCCCACTTCCCATTGACTTGGCTTTTATTTTGGACTTAGCACTAGGGATTTGTGGTTTATTTCTGGCACTGGTACTAGGACTGCGACTGCTTGCAGCACAGTTGCTGTGGCATGGGGCGGGGGGCTGGGCTGGCTAGCTCATAAAATAGGTGTGGTCATATCATCAATAAATATTCTTTGACTGCTGGGCCGTTCAATAAAAAGAAGAGCAATGAGCAAATTAGGAAGAAATACACGGAATGTTTAGAATTGAAGAGAATAAGTTATGCGGGATGCAATGTAAAAATAGCAAGATGCATCTCCACCACGTAAACAAACCGCACTAAGATGCATCTCTGTTCGAGTGTGCGAGTGTGTATCTGTGAGTGGCTAATGGAAACACGAAACGGTGCGATCGCGTGCGCTGAGCGAACAACTGCCAGCGATAGTGCGGACCAATTTCTGGGAAATCCAGGTCCATTGTGTATTGTAGCCATTCACATTCCCATTTGCATTTGCTGGGCATTCGTCATGGGTCGCAGTCCCATCATACTAGTACAACAGTGGTCCCCTCCTTAGAATATCTCTATGCAAAACTGGGGCCAGCAGCAGCAGCATACATACATACATACATACGTACATATATACTTCGCCTTAAACGTTTAAAATCTCATTTCTAGATGCCTTACATGTGTTTCTCTCGGCCCGAACATTTATTATACCAATCTCGGAACTGAGACTGTGTCTCTGTCCAATTTACATACGAGTATGATGCCAAAAGCTGAGTCTGTTTTGGCGTGTTTGCGAGTTGTCTTTAACGAATTGCTTGTCGAAGGCAACAATTAATAGCAGCGGCCAAATTAGTCGCAGCTCCGCCGTCCGCTGATGACTTAATGACAACTTCCTAATAAAAGCCAAGAATTTAATCAATTTATGAAGCTTTTACATTGGAGATACATGCGATTATTTGGCCATTAAAATTTACATATCAATGGAAGACACTCGCTTACACAATCCCGCCTTACATTTGCCTCTGCCTCTGCTGCGGTGCTCCGTAGGAGGACAACTAATTCATAAATATCCCATCAATTTGTATGCAAATAACACGATCAAATGAATTATAGAACCAATAGAGCTTTATACATATATGTATATGTATATGTGAATAATAATGTCGCTGAATGATTACTGTTTATATATTATAAGTAAATCGTAATTCCGTTGAGCCATAGAATACAATAAAACCTTTAAATCTGAATGCAGGACTTCACTGTTAATGGAGTGGGAACCCTACAATATGTACTTTATGTAGGAATTACAATGGAAAATTCAAACGAAATCTATTTCTTCAAGTAAAGCCCATGTCTGTACCTTCGAGCGTGTCTGAGCTTCGGATATCAGCGATTGTTCCGTGCCGCGGCTCATTTACGTTTATTAGAAATGATTTTGTTTTGGAAACGGGCCTGTTCGACCCTCTAGGATGGAGCAGACTAGCGTGGCTTTGGATTTTGGTTGGATGGATATACATTGATTCCAATGAAATCCATACATCGCATCGATTTATCGCTGCACACATGCCATCGAAACCAAACCTTAATACGTGCTTAACTGTAACATTTCAATTTGCAATTTTCGACTCGATGTCTGTCCGGGGCAACGCTCGTCTCTCCGCCTATCTGTCTGCCTCTCTGTCCGTTACGCACTTGCCACGCCCTTCATGCTAAAATGTTTTTCAAACATGCAAAGATCATTTGCGAACACAAAAAGATACACACGCATACACTCCCACGGAGACGGAGACGGAGACTGAGTAGCACTCAAGAACAGCCAAAGCACGAGCCAGAGCTGGTGCCGGTGCCGGTGCCAATGCCCACGACCCAATGCTCAGAAACCGAACCCTTTGACATTGTTAAGTTTTGTATTTTTTTTTTGTTTTGTTCTGTTCTCGACCCGTGCGATAGAAGTATATGTATAATCAGAATTCGTAGGCACGCATTTTTGAATGGGCCACGACGGAGCGAGCTCCCTTTCCCCACCATCCCCCATCTCCCACTGAAAAAAGAAATGAATAACAGACATTGTGCGACGGCGGTGTTGTGCCTTATATGAGCGGGACACGACGAGTAACGTATCGTAACGTATCGTATCCGTATCCGTATCCGTATCCATCGCCCGCTCAACGTATGTTCCCAGATAAGATACTTTATTGACATTGCGTGTCTAAACACTTTACCGCTACGCTACGCTAGTTATTGTTGCTGTCGTATTTGATTGCGATTGTGCGCTTTAAGCTTATTTGCATACTCATATTTCTTCATTCGGCCCGTTCCCGAGTGCCCCTCTGCTGGTCTATCGGTCTGTCGGTCTGTCAGTTTGCGTGTTTCAGTTTAAGCCACACACGAGCATGTGTATCTATTAGATAGATTGGGCAAAGCAGTTTTAATCAGAAGAAACCCACTATTTATTGGGGTTTAATTTGGATACACGAAGTGTCCATGGAATATTCACCTGATCGCATGCAGTCAACGAATACGATATTAATAGAATCAACAGAACTACAGGTACTAACAAAGAAGTTTACCAATCTGGGATGGTTGTCAGATACTCGCATCTTTTGCAGCTGAAGATAAAGATTGCTTAAAGAGGTTGCTCAAATTAAAAATCATGTATTTTCTACCTTTAGCCCAACACCGCTAAATTTATAAAAGAACATTTTCTTATTTCTTGTGCTCTTCGCCTCACGTGACAAAATCAATTTTAAATACATACATTAGTACAGCTAACCACCAGATATAGAGGCAAATACGGCATTTCCATTGGTATTCGTTAGTAATCCGCTCTAGGCTGTGCTACTAAATCGATTAAACTCCTCCGGATACCGACAAGGCCGGCGGCGCGCTGCCCCTGGATCTGGTTTTCGTGAAAGGAATATACAGGATTGTCAATGGGAATCCGGATCTAAGTCCATGGCGTCTAGGCAGGGATCGCAAGGACTGGGACAGTGCTGTGACGCACCCACCACGAACATTATGTCCTGCGGATTGATGCTGTTGTCCATGTTCCGCTCGCACTCGCTCCCTCCCACCCTGCGGATATTTCGAAAAGCCTTTGATTAGTATTGGATCTGAGTTGGTGACAGCGCTCTTTACATACATCGGCTGATCACTGCAACGGATGACCAGGCGGCAGAGGATCTGCAGCATACCGGCCGGCTCAGCCCCCTTACCCAACACGCACGTGTCCACGTGGATGATGTCACTCATCCCTGGTTCGATGCGCTCCGTGACCATGGTAGGGAAGGCTATCTCTCCGTTGCCCACTGCGCGATCGTCGTACTTTACCACGAACGTCATGCCGCATTCCTCGAGGGTGTGGCGAAGGTCGTTGGGCTCCGCCTCGAACTGAAGACCGCTGCCCGACTTGAACTCGTTGACATTGATCCGGCTCGAGGTGAGGGTCAATGGCATGCGATTGAAGTTCACATCGATCACCAGCCGCTTGGGGTCGGCGATTTCTACGCCCTGTGCCTCCAGATTGGTGACCACGACGTCAAAGATAAATGTCTGAGGCGGTTCCTTGATCGGCTCCATCTTGAAGCAGGAAGCGCTAAACTTTGGTCGGAATCACTGGCAATCGCGAATTTAGTTGAGAGAATTAGGTTTGAAAAAATTAACTTTGATTAAAGAAAGCATTTCAGATACGACTACTTCGATGTTTCGGAAGAGCATCGACATACATCGACTATTCGACATATAGCCAATGCTCCAACCAAAAAACAAAAAAAGAAACAGAACCTATTAGTCCAACATCTATCTTTCCGGCATTTAATCGACCCTTTATGTGTTGGTTTTATGTGCGTTATGCAGCACTACCCCTCGGTCGGTTGCGTTTCTGCCTAGCTACGTTCTACGCGCCACAGGCTTCGGCTTGGTGTAACTTGCAGTTGCACGTCAACTCCAAATGGAGGTGGTTGGTTAAAAACCATTTGTAAATTGGTTTTCCATGTTGCTTATATAAAACTCAGAGTCTTACGAGTGTATAGGTTCGGAAAGTGGTTGAGCTGGCTATTATAATCTCGGAGATCTCTGCGATCTTATGGCCGGACAGACTATCATGGATGAAACGAGTAGGCTGTTGGTGCTGATCAGGAATATATGCAATAATTCTCTACGATGTTTTATAAAGCAGAACAAGCAGATGGATAATTAGATAAAACACACAATACTTTAATTTATGTTAAAATATCCGACCTTATCTTTCAAAAATATATTTTTTACTGCTACAGATGCTACATCAGCAGAAGTTTCAAAATGTTTCACTCTAAGATACAATTAATTTATACAAACATTATCACATTCTTCTATGAAAAAAAATTCCCATATGTTTTTACAGATCACCGATTGTTCTCGGTTTGAAACCATGCGGAATTGGGGACAATTTCATAGGCATATACATAGAGTGATTTTCAAGTGAGATTACATCAAATCAGGTTTCCAGATTTGCCTACGGAACTAAAATTTATGATCGCACTTCATCATTAGAGACTTCGAATTCGAAGCAGAGCAGAGTAGGCAGATTATAAATTTATGGGGCTTATTGTTATGAATGGGACAAGTTTTGACATCGCCTCGCCAGTTTCCGGTTATGCCTGATTTTCGAAGCCAAATTAGGGCCTAATGTGATCTAATTTGGGCTTTGATTTCAACGCTTCTTTACTGCGTCCACACTCATTCAATAAATTGTGCTTCAATAGAGATTTCATTTGTGGCTCTGTTCGGGTAGTGATTGAGTGTTTTTGAGGCTGATTCGACCTGAATCAGTCCCCAGGAAAGGAAATTTCCTCACATCGAAAGTATGAAGGAATGCAAGGAATGTGATACGACGATGCTGTAGAGGAGCGGGTTTCTGTTGTCCAGATGTCTGAGTTCTGCCAGTTCCAAGGAAACCGGCAACGAATCAAGCCTCAAGTATCTGTCAGAGGCAATGAGGATGACGCCGTCGCTGTCGCCCCAAATCATTAATTTCACAAAACGTGACTTTTTTGCCATATGTTGAATTCTAATTCCACTCATTAGGCGGCACACTGAGGGGGTCCACTGCCATTCTAAGCATATAGTAACTTCAAAAAGATGCAGACTGCACTTGTGACACGTTTCGTAATCTCTTGGCTGGTTTTCTTGGCCCGGCAAAGGCTGTTCTCCGCTGTTCTTGCTGGCTTTTCCATAAGCAGGCGACGACAAACAACATACGGCCTCCTCGAAGAAGCCCAGTTACACTTACAGATGCAGATGCAGATACAGATACAGATACAAATGCAAATGCAAATGCTTACGCGCACTTGCATCCAAGCAGCAGAGATGGATGTGCTGCGGGTGGGGATCGAGCTGGAGGAGCCCTCAAGGAGCTGCTATTTCCGCAGCGGAAGGCAGCACATTTGCGCTTACCTTTTGTGCCCAAAGCCGGCTCGGAGCCCCAGCCAGAGTCTAATTAAAATAAGCAACATGGCGAGGGGCGGGGAAGGGCAGGACCAAGAAAGGTCTTTGGTGTGCTACGTTGCAGTTGCACTAGCGGATTAGTCAGAGTTCGCTATTCCAGCTACAGCTACAGATGCAGCGTTGCAGATGCAAACACGTTGCATAATTGGCCATTTCTGTGTGCAGTTGCCGCACATCGTTCTCAATCTTAATTAACAAATATACCGGGAATGAAAGTGCCAGCGAAAAACGAAAGGAAAGCCCGCCCCGCCAAGCCCAGCAAGACAAAAAGCCAGCGAAGATGCGACATAAAATGCAATTTACGACTTGTCATAAAGGGAGACCCGCCATATAGTAAATCATTTTTTATGTAGCCAAGTCGCGAGCGGAGAGTAGAGGAGAGGACATCGCGCGCAGGGTCGCGACCATAAGTAGCTGCCTGCCTGTTTGGGCTACTAAAAACGCAAATAAGCCGAACATAAAATCCTTTAGCACCTTTCAAATGCGAGCGCCGGATCCTTAGCCTTAGCCGTCGGACAGACCAAGACCCATGACCAGCCCCAGGTCCACACCAGGACCGGGAAGGGCTGACTGCCTGCTAAACGCGAAATTTACACAATCAACAAATGACATAAAATTGCTGCTGAATGGCACAAAACGAGAAAGAAACGAACACAACAAAGAAATGAAATTGCATGACAAATTCCCAGGGCGGGTCCGAGGCGAAGATGTCAGAGAAATGATGGACGATGATTATAAGAGTATCAGATGCCGATGAGGATGGGGGATGGGGATGAGGGGATTGGGGAACAAGACGGGAAGACGGGAAGATGGGTTCTCGCAGCGAAACAACATTTTAAGTCCTCGAATTCCAACATGTGGAGCAATAATAATAATTTTATTGTTTTAACAAAGGTACCAAACAGAAAGTTGCTTGAGCCACAGCTGAGCGGCTTTTAAAAACAAATCGCAAGGTGAACACGGCCTGGCTTCCTGGTAGACAGGCAGACGGAAAGACAGACAGACAGAGGAAGGCAGGACTCAGGAGACAGCAGGCGGCAGGCGGCCAGGACCAAGGAGGATAAGTGCCAGGCAAGCGTAAAGATACAAAACATACATATAAAGAGGTTTCGCCAGCGACGCTGTAAAATGTATGAAAAAAGGAAAGCAAATATAACAAAGCCAGGCCAAACAGAGGCAAAGGACGAAGGAGACAGGCTTGAGGATGGCATCCACCTCCATCCCCCCCCTACCATACTCGTACGTATCTCCAGCCCGAAAACAAATAAAAATGGCGAAATAAAGCTGAATAAGATCTGTAGCGAAATATTTTTATTGCCATTTTGGCGAGGGTGGGTGGGTTGGTGTTGGTGTAGGTGTGGGTGGGTGTCTATGGCGGTGGATGTGGTCCGTGGGTGGTTCGCCTTTACGATATAAATATAAATATAAATATAAATAGAAGGTGGAAGGTGCATTCTGGGGGAGGGAGGGAAGCCGGTGAGCCAACATAATTTACGCGGCCATAATTTGTCATTAAAATCTTCAGAAATAATTTTATGTTGAAATGCAAATTTTGAATATACGACTCTTTTATGCGAATCCAAAGGCACAAATGCGAGTATAGGCACATGTGCACATGTGTGTATGGGTACGTATATATAAATTGTTTCTATAAATTTACCAGAGCATACGAGATACGAGCACGAGTATGAGTTCTGGGCGGAGCGAAGCGGCGCAGGTGAGGAATGGGCCCGACTAAGAATGGCTAAGCTGGGGAGATTGCCTTGGTGGCATGGCCTCTGATTTAGATGCATGTTATGCGGGTAATTGACTGGAACCAGCCAATCTGGCGACCTTGTCCAAGTCATTCATTTGCGAGGATATTATAGAATATTTCCCACTGGGTGGGTGCGTTCCTGTGAGACTCAGATTCAATTTTTATTTTGCGTCCAAAGCAAGCAATCCATCTTCACTTCTCCCAAGTTAATAAATTGAATAAAATGGCAGTAATCCAGGCAAAAACAGACGACTTTTATTATACTTTAACTGCACAAGATTTTGTGAAGAAATATTTTAGAGATTTGGTTGATTGTGAGCCAGATTGTGAATACCACATACACTTTCGATCTACGAGTAATGGACACAACTGTTTGATTTGATGTATATAATGTATTCACATATTATAATAATTGATGGGGCGCAGAAAATAAAATTTACTTGTATTTCTTAACATTAGGTTTCTACTGTATTTTTCTGATTTTTTTAATACATGAAAATACATATTTAGGAAGTAAAGCTAGCTCTACTTACTGCAAAACATAGATTTATTGCTTATTTTATAGCATTAAAGACGCATTAAAGTCCAGATCGCATTAAGTGACATTAGAGGGAATTGTTTAAAGTCCCCAGTGTCTCCCTCTACGAACTAGTCGTCGTACTTCTGAGATATACTCGTATATCTCATTTACGGCCGTTTGGCATGACAATTGCCACACATGGTATACATTGTAAATATTTTGTATGGCCTGGCAAATATTTAGAGAACTTCACACTTGATATGCGAACAGAGTTGAGGAGGCTGAAGATGGGTAGGAGGAGCGTTTTATGGCGGACTGACGGGTGCAAAAGCAACAATCTTTGTTACTACACTCCCGTTTAATCTTTATGGCGCCTATCTCCCCGGCCCGCTCCTCTCTTTTGAACTAAATCATAATCGGGGCTGGCAATGCTGCGTGTCATTTGAGAGCACACGTCATAAAGCAGCAATTAAGACAGTGCTCGAATCGTAAGCGTCAAAAATGTCATAGAAAATGCGTAGCACAATAAAAAGAAAAACCCTCATAAAAGTGTCGAGCAGGGCACAAAGGAAAGGAGAGGAGACGAGTGGAGAGGAGAGGAGAGGAGAGGGAAGCAGAGAAGAGGAGTGGAAAGCGCAGAGTGAAACGAGAGGAGAGTCAAAGACGGAGTTGGCAACGTTGCCATCGCTCTGCTGCTAATTGTCTGTCAAAATTCTATGCACAGTAACAGTCGCAGTCCCAGAGATGAGATAAGTGCGTAGTAACCGAGTTGAATGCACAAGATATCAGTCGTTAGGAGCACCCCCTCGCTCGCTCTCCCCTCTCTACATCACTCTCTCTCCCTCTCTCTGTGTCCCTCAAAAGAAAACCAGGGCGGTTAGA